TTATGCGGATCTGCGGATGCGTTTTGGCGGTCACCCATGACGACCCTGTGAGCGCATAAACACCAGCCAACAGGTGAAGCCAGGTGTTTTGAATGTGGATCAAAGTACGCTGACATGCGGGTTGAGTAAGCGCTCACAGGATACAAATGAAGCTCACTGGTCACATGTTCACCAGACCTTACTAGAAGCAGGCAAATCCTTATGCGGTACATACACGAGCCAAAAGAGACATTGGGTCTCTTCGCAGTCTCCGGAACTTATAGAGGCCCGCGGGCACATTCCGGTTGGGAGCGAAGACAACGAGACCCGTAAAGATATCCGGCCGAAACTCCGTGCTAGTATGAAAAGAGATCCCGAATCCTGGTGGTCGCTTAGTGCACCAGCGATAGTAGCAACCACTACGCTTGGTAAATATCGGAAGTTGTTCCATCTGATATGGGAAACGGGCAGTAGGAGACATGGTGTTAGTGAAACTATACGTGATGAGAGCGGATAGTCTATATTTATTTAGTTATTTATTTATTTACTGGTCAGAATCTGTGTACGGATATTGTGCCATCGGAACCATGACGGAAGAGAGAAACAAAGTGAGTGTAAAAGAAGAAAGAAAACAATTTTTGTCCATTCTTCAACTCACCGTTTTTGAGTTTTTTGATGTTTTGGAGGAGGGAAGGGGAATCATCGCAAAAAGCAGAGATACACGCCCGCCGAGCCATGACTTCCAACCAACTGCATTCAGCATCCTTAAGACGCCATTCAGGGAGTCGGGAGGAACCAACCGTGTCCAGCAGTTTTGTCCGCTTTGTCATCCTGCTTCTCCAAATTGTAGGCTGTCCATCACACCGCCTCCTCTAACTCTGTCTGGGGACTGCGAACAAGGCACGACGCGGAAGACGCTGAACGGGCATACGCAGTACGTGTCCGAGCCATGGTAGTTGGCGCAACGAGACAAAGGCCTCGAGGGTGTAGGTGTCTCCACCCAAGACACGCTGTCTGACTTCAACGTTTGTTACGTGGTTCAGCCACTACACACGGGCGATGGACCGCAAGCAACGGTTCTCGAAGTCAGACAGTCGACGTAGGTCATGGGTACGGTCAGGCCAAGTCTCGCAACGGTACAACAGTACAGCGCGGACAATGGCACTATAAACCCGTCCTTTGATGGAGAGACGGATGTCATGGCGGCGTCATAAATGCCTCAGCCTGGAGAAGGCGAGAGGAGCTCTTGAGATACACATCGAAATCTAGATTCCAAACAGCCCACCAGCAGTTATGCAGCTTCCAAAGTAGGCAAAACTCTGTACTACTCCTAATGTTTCTCCATCGATGGTGGGTGCAGGTAGGAGCGTATACCAGTCTTGAAAAAGCGCTTTGCACCTGGATGGTGAAAAGTGCATGCCATAGTTTGACACTTCAATCGCCAGGCGGTTAAGTGCAAGCTGGACGGCCTGCGGACCGTCACCCAACAAGACGATATCATCAGCGGACTAAAGAATAGCTTGCCTACAACTTGTCAAAACGTTTGGAGCGTTTGGCTGAGCATTTTGAAAAGCAATTTAATCGACCGGAATTGTCAGATCCCTCACCGGCCAATGATCGCCCTGCTCCCTGGGCTATCCCTTTGGACTCGCCCTCTCGCTCAGAAGCCCAACGTGCGATCGCACTGCTGAAGTTGGATAAAGGCGCAGAACCGGATGATCTTCATCCAGCCCACTTCAAATTCGAGGGAGCTGCTCTTGTGGATGATTTACACGAGTTACTATTGAAACTGTGGAAGCAGGAAACAGACCCGACCGACTAAAGCCGCTCCGTCGTTGTCCCCATCTTCAAAAGAGGCTCACGTTTGGAATGCGACAACCATAGAGGAATCAGTCTGATCTCCATCGCCTCCAAATTGCTTGCCTGTCATCCTTCACAGACTGACTGGCGCTCGTGAACGCCAGATTCGTGAGGAGAAAGCCGGGTTTCGTAGTGGTCGGGGATGCATGAACCACATATTCACATTACGTCAGTTGTTGGAGCACCGGCACATATATTGGCGGCCCAGCGGAGTCGTGTTCCATGACATTAAAGGTGCCTTCGATTCAATGGATCGACATGACCTTTGGGACCGTGTACCTGAGAAATATGTAAATATTATCCAAGCATTATACGCGCGTAGCTCAGGCAGAGTGAGGGCTTACGGCAAGCTGTAGCCGCCCGTCAATATCTCCGGCGGTGTAAGACAAGGATGTCCGCTGTCATCATTTCTCTTCAACTTCGCTATTGACGAAGTCATGGAAATAGCGTCTACAGGATACAACTTAGGAGTGGATCTGCTCCCACGAGAACGACTTCTTGACTTCGCCTATGCTGACGATATCGCCCCAATCTGTGACAGCTCCCAAACGTGCCAAGCTGCATCGGACAGATTAGCACTGGCTGTCACCCGTTTCGGGTTTTGCTTTGCACCCTGTAAGCGCAAAGCCTTCCTTCAAGATTAGCAGGGACCGCCCCCTGTGCTGACCCTTAGTAGGGATTAGCTAAAAGTCATTCAAAAGTTCAACTACCTAGGTATCAGCGCCGTTGGAATAGCAAAAAGCTCAAGGCGCATTTGCAAACCTTCGCCCCCTATGGCACCGGTGCGACATCAATCTCGCCCTGAAGGGTAGGGTATACAATGCACCCATACATTCGACCCTACTGTACGGTCGTGAAACCTGGCCCCTTAGATCAGCGGACATAAAGAGGCTAGTTACGTTCGACCACCGGTGCCTACGCAGTTTGGCCCATATCCCTTTGGAACACCGTGTGAGCAATGAGCGTGTTCGACGCTTTGTTTATGGCGCAAGAAGAAGAACCGAACCGCACAACACCGTTATTCCACGCACCAGGCTCCGATGGCGGGGCCACGTGTTGCGCATGCCATCCCACCGACTTCCGCGACGTGCCTTGTTTGCGTGCCGCGGGTGCAGATGGAAGAAAAGAGGTGGCCAAGCGATGAGTGGGTCAAGATGAATGAAAGCCCTTAGTTCGAAACTGGTTTCGGTTGGAGCCTTTCGGCTCTCTGGTTGAGGACCGAAGGATGATGAACACGTCTGGTTGGATACAGTTGTTGACATGGCTAGCAGCAGACTTCAGTGGCGTTTGTGTTGTGAGTTCCTTTGTCCATCGCCATCCACTTAGCTTCCCCCTCCAATCACAATCTCAATTAATAAGCATTATGAGTTTTTGCGGCACAATAGCTGGCCGTTAGCTCTCCGGAACGATGCCCACCCGTTACTGGCGACTCCGCCGGCGTGCCTCCGTTTCACTTTCTTTTCTTTTGGATTGCGCTACCGTAGCTGAGGAGTTTCCCATCTGAAACTAGCGTGTATAATGATTGTGATAAATCAACAAATGTCAGCCTCAGAACTGAGAACGATGCCCACTCCAGCTTGGTCAGTGATAGTCGCACCAGCATCACCGGATGCGTGCAGTCAAAAGCGAAAGAACAAGCAGAAAGCAGTTAATGCAACAACCCCATTAGGGTCATTGATCCTAGTTTCAGTCACACAACACACGTCAATACCCAGTGTGTCTAACGTGCGTGTGAGTGCACCCTGTTGAGCTATTTGTCTTGAAGTGCGAACGTTGAACGCCGTAAGGGAGACGGGACAGCGTGGCCTTATAAGGGACTGGTACCGACAGGCGTACAGTGGGTGGTGCGGGAAGGTAGCTGCATATGGTATGACTGCAGTCACATTGCAGCTATAGACAATTAAGCTGGGAAGTACAGAAGGCTAGTAACCAAGGTTGGGAAGGTAGTGAGAAAAGTAATTAGAAAGGAAAAAAGGCAGGCGCCAACAGTAGCATGATCTCACTTATCCGCCCTGTTGTATGCAGCAGATAAGGTGACCCTTAATAAGCTGCGCGACGGCCGATGCAAAATGTGGTTGGAGTTAGTTGAAATTGTATGGTTGTACGTAGGTTGGTACACTGCAGTATCAATACACGTTAGCCGAGGGTGAGAAACACACCGCCACTAACGTATCGCAATACAAAAAAGATGAGATTAAATAATAAAGACCTAGACAGGAGAACGATTAGGGTCCTTAACCAAAGCCTTTGGTTCTAAATCATGTCCGCAAGGCAGTGGATGTGGCAACGATTCGGTTTTGGAGAAATGGACTCCATCTCATTTTAATCCACTAACCTGGATGACCAGGAGAATGAATTGGTCTGACCTCTAACAATTGGCCAAACTGATAGGAGTAGCTCTCAAGGTGCCATGGAGCACCGTCTAGTACAGCTCAATGTGTTGACGAGGTAGGCAAATAGTCGCAACACCTTAAGGTCCAGTCTCGTTGCGACGGCGTATATTAAGATGCGCCAAAACAGAGCCGGTATGCCGAAGCGATCAAGCACTCTTCGGAGGATGAAAGCGGACGAAATATACCGAAATATGACACATATCCATCGGTGGTGCATATGCCTGAAAAGAAGGCAAGCAGAGTTCGCGGCTCACCGACAATGTGTGCGACGAAGTCGTTCCGTAAGAAAAGGGGATGCAATGTAGGACAACAAATCGCGGTATTAGTAGTCGTTTTGCGTGTTTACACCCAGAGCTCAGTTAGTCGGGTTGACATAGGTTGCGAAGATGAGTGATGTGGAATTCGCAATCGCATGATTATCTAAAAGAATGCACAGTATAGTGTGCCAGATGGATAACTGAAAGTGGGCTAAGTGTAAGGTCCACATGTGGAAGTGGCTCTCAGCTAACGTCCAAGTTCGCTCCTTAGACGGCGGCGTTAGGTGATTAGCTACATCCTACAACCAATACGTAATGACAGGTGACATCAGCGATACCGCAATGGAAGCTGATCGCAATTCGGTCGTAAAAACAAAGGGTGCATTCGCACCGCGGTTTGAAATAGCTGCATTGAGAAGTAATATAAGTTTGAAAGTCGTAAAATCCCATAAGACTGGTGGTTAACAGATGGCATAAGAATAAATGCAAACCAAAATCAGTTGAGACTCACTGGACTGATGATGGGATGGGGTGAAAGATGTCCACTTGGTTGAGCTTCGCCAAGGTTTGACCACGCGGCTTTGGAGGAAGGAACTAGTGCAAGATTTGGAGCTATACTCAATTGGGTAAATGAACAGGTGGGGGGCGGAGGAGGGACACCAGTGAAGTAACGTTCTTTTCCGGAAGGTATTAGATTCTGGGGCAAAACATCCGGCAACATTTCGCCTTCGACACACAGATGAATAAGATGCATAGCCTGAAAATTACACACATACGCACGAATTGGCCTTGGAACACAACAATGGAGAACTCGCATTAAAAGTACCAATGGCTGATATTAATAAGGTTGATGTCTTGAAGTAATAGCTTTAACGCCTTACCTCTGGGATAGCGGATATGGGCATTTCGGGAGCAACCGAAACCTCTTTAGAGCAGATGGAGGTTGAATTGTTGTCGCGACCTCACTTTCTGCTTGCATTCCAGAGCTCCGATACTAAGGAATCGTGTTGCGTACTATATGTTTTTGGTCTGTCTCTAGTTCCCTCCTTAGATTGAATGCTGGTTGGTGGCCGAGGAGAAGAGGTATCCACCTTGTGACCGGTTGGAATCTGCGTAGAAGCGGGCGACAACACAGTGTCCCCAACAGGCGTGCGACTAATCGAGTGGCAGCAAAACGTCGGTACGACGTACTGGCGTAGTGTTGACGACCTTCAAACTTATCAGAATGTCACAGATACGTCATATATGCGAAACTCATGGTTGGCATTCAAAAGTGTGAGGTTTGCATCCGTGAAAAGGACAGGCAAACCGATACACGCCAACTATATATGATATGGCGTAACGAGCGGATAAAAATTGTAGGGACTCACCAAAACAAATTCGCCCTTGTCTAAGCTGCCATCAGCATCGATGTCCGAAAGATCCCAAATGCGTCTGAGTGTCTCTGTCGACAGCTGGGAATTCATCATTGTCTGAAGAAAAGTGAATTAAATAGGTTTATCGAGAAGATGAATGAGAGGCATACGAAAGGTGGGCATGACATGTGTAATGTTTACTAAACACTGGCATGCAAAACAGGCAGAACATAGTCAAAGTTCACTTTTTGCGAATAATGTCATGAAATTGCCAATCAAGTTGGTTACTTGTGCCATAGTACAAGGTCGATAGACAATGACGAACAATAAGGTACCGCATTTCCCCATATGAGAAAGGCAAAAAAGACATCAGCAGTACACCGGTGCGCAGTGCCGACGCTTCGCTGCCGCGCAACCACCACCTATCGTACGTAAGTTAAGAATACTGCGAGGGTCGCCCTGCCGCTAAGCAGGCTCGAACCTACGCCGTCAGATTACAAGCTTGTTACAGTTAAACTACGGGCCAGCCCCTCATATGGAAGACATTTGATCGAGTACTACAGGAAATGGGAAGAGCGCACCGAATGCGCTCCACGACCAGTTTCGAACTTGTTTGATCTCGTCATGTTCAGATTCTTCGGAATGTCGACCGAAACCACTAACCGTAATCCACCGAGTCGCGGGCCAGCCGGTAGCCTTATGGATCGTAAGACTGCGTTGAACTCTAAGGACGCGGGTTCGAGCCTGCGTAGGGACCAGGCGACACTTGCAGTATCCTTAGGCCATGTGCGACTGGTGCTGGCTGTGTGGTAGCGAAGCGTCGATACTGCGTACCGGCGTACTGCTGATTTTCCTTTTCCGAGTCGTAGGGAGAAAAACGCTGGTAGGAGGGAGTATTTTTAGGCATTCGTTGTGTAAATGGATTGCGACGCGCGATCTCAATTGGGACGGCGATCCGCAACGAAAAGACCCTTGGGGCAAAGGTTTCCGCTGACATACCAAAGGCCCCAAGTTCGAGGGCTTGTTGTCTACATTTGAGGAGATCAAACACGTTCGAAACCGGTCGTGCGGTGTTTATTACTCTGCGTTGTAATCAGAGGAAGCCGAACATCGAAAATGCTCAAAAAACGTGGGCCACACTAGACACGATGGAAGACGCACTACTGGAGACAGTTGCCAGGAAGGTACTCTAATAGTTGGGGGCAAGTATGCGGTGTCGCGTTGATTCCAGCACAGAGAGTGAAAAGGAACTGCAGTATGTACTTAATTTGCAATGACATACGGAGAACGTGTACAAATCAGTGAAAGCCTTCTGGTCTTATGTATTTGTCATGAGTGCCTCTTGGTTACGCCACATGTTATAACAGACTGGTATCGACTATCCTAGTCGGAAGAACGAAGGTGATGCAGAATTGTATCCCCACACGACAAGGTAGCCGACAAAATTCGAGTTCGTACGACTCATGAGACTAAAGTGTAACACGGTTTCTACGCGCAAGTTGAACGGGTTCCTAGATCGAAGGCAGATTGCAGGAGTGACTACCCAGCCCCGAAAAAAATAAGAACAAAAGACAGACTCCTTGCAATAGGCATTTTTACTGACCAGGCGAAAAGGTATTACGGATTTAATGTACTCATCCCAGCAGCTCACAAGCTATGTAGCACAGCCAAGTCCGGAAAAGCACCAGACGAGTTTCGCCCTATTAAGGCTCGTCAGTGGTGTGCAACCATCGGCCCCTTACTAGAGATCGAACCCATGATCGCTAGGGGCAGATACTAACTAGCCAGCAGCTTAAGCCACTGTGCCATGGGGGACGACAGCTGGGTTAAATAATTTGCAAGCTAACTGGGATATAGCACGACCTATCTTCCACTGTCACGCAGGTTAATGGCTTTGCAGGTGACAGTGGCTAGCCTCCAAGGTCATGACTCCCTCTCACTAGACCCTATGTCCTTAGGATCCTCCTACTCAAAAGTAATATATAAGGTAGCCTCTCATAGTTTCAACTTCTATAAGAAAAAGTCATGACATCAGAGGCTAGCCACTGTCACCTGCAAAGGTCGTGTTATATCCCAGGTAACTTGCAAATTATATAGCCTAGCCACCGTCCCCCATGGCTCAGTGGCTTAAGCTGCTGACTAGTAAGCATCAGCTCTGGCGGTCACGGGTTTGATCCCCAGTAGGTGGCCGAGAGAATGCGCACCACTGACGAGCGCCAATAGGGTGAAACGAGACTGGTGCTTTTCCGGATCGGCGATTTTGCTATGTAGCTTGTGAGCTGTTAGGACGAATTCAATAAACGTACAACTAAAATGCCCCTACGCATAAGTACATACAGCTTGGTCTAGCCTTGGTCATATACCGCAATTGGCGAAATATGTGATTTTTCATGTGGAATAGTCTACGTAAGCTAACCACGGAAGCAAGGCATACACAAGTGAAATAGCGCTATGTGAATATACCAACACTCAGTAACCGGAACATGTTGGAAAGCGAATGTTGGTAATTGCGGACCAGCGGCAGTTACCTAATCTGTAATGACATATGAAGGACGCGCCCAAGTCAGCGAAACGTTTCTGGACTTATGCAATAGCATAACGAAATTGTAGATCTTCCCAGTTTATTGAGATTCCGATTAAAACGCTCAACTAATTCGCAATAATTTCAGCCAAAAAGGTACAATGGAGGTTGAACGTGTGCGAACTTATACGTCAAACAACGGCCTTCGGTCTTTGGAATACAAGGATCAACTGATAAAATGAGCAGCGTCATACCGATCCAGCGAATTTTCAAGAGGATGTGCAGTCAGAATATTTCAAAATGCTCGAAATCAATGCTCAAGTCAGAAACAAGCAATTATTTACTGAAATAAGTTTCCTTTTTCTGAGTAACTCCTACATTCTCCCGAACATCTCCACCCCTGAGGACCGCCGCGGCGAATGATGAGTCTTAAATCGACTTGTTGCTACCTGGAGGATGTTCTGTATATGTCAGTCCATAGCCTTGGCTGAAGTGCTCGAGAAGCAGGTTCTGAAGTTTGTGGTCAGGGTTTATTGATCAGTCGACGGCAGTCATCCACGTCCTTTGGCATCATCATCATCTACAGCAGTACATCAGCCATTCGAACTCATGTTTAGCTGCGCACAACCATAACTGCCTACAGAACGACGATTAATAAGATGGGGAAAAGGCACTCACAGGAAAAGCTTAAGGCCTTAAACGAACATTCAGGGTTAAGGCGCCTACACTTTGTCAATAGCATAACGTCACAAACATCTAGCTATCGTGCAAAGATAACGTAGCATCAGCGAGACAGCTTCATTGCGGCTTTCACTGCCCTGCGTCTTAATCAGCCATTTCCCCGCAGATAATTAAGCACCAAACACACTATAAACAGGAAGTCCGACTACGAGACGAGAGCAAAAGCGCCACTGGTACCGACTGCGAGCAATGTTCTGTAAAGTCTCGAGCCAAGTGCAAAACGGGTCACGTGCACTCCAGCTAGTGAGGTGTAACAGAGCAACACCCACTTTTGTAGTCAGTGACTTCATTTCCTGCTGCCAAGTCAACTTCTGTCCACCTCAAAGCCTTGCGCCACCCTACAACTGGTAGACAAAACAACACCTCGGAAAGCAGGGACCGGGCATACGCAGCACCTGCCCAAGCAAACGCAAATTATTCAGTGCTACCTGTTGTGCTAAGGAATTAACTTGGTAATCAACGCCAAGTGCTCGCCTATGCACATTATCATTGCAAACACGCTGGTGCCATCCGACACTAGCAATGCTTCGCAAATACCGATGATCAAAGAATTGAAGGCACCTCATATCCTTAGACCGAAGGGTCCAAATCTCACTCCCATAGAGTAGGACGTCCCTCAGTATGGCCTTGTAAACAAGGCCTTTCAAACTGACGAAAATCCCTTTCTGACGCCACAAATGTCACAGTTTCAAAAAGCAGTGCTGGCTTTTTAAATACATGAATTGACTTCAGTTGCCATGCACTAAGCGTTGCTGGTACAACTGCCGAGGTAAGTAAATCGATCAACCACCTCGAGTTCCTCGTTATCAATGGTCAAGGATTCATCAAGTGCCTAGTGTCCTGCAACAACACAGCATTTTGAAGGTGCGAAACGCATACCAAATGATGGGGTCACTCTACGCATGTTATTCAGGGTTGAGTATGCCGCCCCAACATGGTTAAAAAATAAAGTAATATCGTCCGCATAATCTAGATCAAGTAGCTTTTCACCAGGCGACACCTCAATGCCTGCATCGCGAGGCACAGCAAGGCACTCCATGATGGAGTCCACGACGGAGTTGAACAAAAATAAAAAAGTTACGCAACCCTGGTGAACACCGCTTGTTGTCAGAAGGCTATCCGACAGGTCACCATAGACCCTGACGCGGCCTGTAGTGTTCGTATACAGAGCACGTAAAATGATAACATATTTCATGGGAACGGAATGCATAGATCAACTGAATCGAACGCATGCTTGAAATCGAGGAACACAGCTACTGTCGGTCTGCGGTATGCGAGGCGCTTTTTTAGCACCTGTCAGGGAGGAAATACGTGCTCTATACGGTCATGTCCGGGACGGAAACCTGTCCGCTCTTCCCTAATCCGGGATTCCCGTTTCGCAGTAAAACGACGAACGAGAACAGAGACCAGTAATTTTGTCACCCCTGTGGGTAGCACAGTCTGTGCGACTTCCTTTCTTGTATATTGCCACTAAAATCGATTCATTCCGGTTAGCCAGGACGGTGTCCACCTTTCATAAATTTTCGAACAAAGTTCAGTGTTTTGCAGAGGACTTTGGCAAGTTGAACCTCTCTACCAATAAGTCGAACGAGTGATCAGCAAACAATGCTTCGTATGGCTGGCACAGCGCTGACCTTAAGTGGTTTGCATGATGAACCCAGAACTAAGTTCTCACGACCACGTCCTAAATGACATTCCTGTACATGCTTTTGATTGCACCAGGCATCCATGGTGCGTGGCCCTCCTAGTAGCCACGTACTAATACCGGCTGCCTCGGCTTAAACGATCGTTACTTAGCTCCATTCCGCCGGTCAGTCTTGTTCCATCTTGCGGTTCCTCTATCTACCTGGGGACC